AATGAACGGCCTGCTGTTTCCTACTTGCAGACAACTGACACTGTGTGCAGATATGTTATGATCTAGGAAGCCAAACGAAACAAAACCACACACCACAGGGACAAGAGAACCACACACTTCCCTCATGAAGCAAGAACTGGTAGTGAAACAGATTCTGGGGGAGTTTGGTTTTGCTTTTAAAATAACCTGTCAATCTGAAAAGTGAGATCCATAATAGTCTTTGTAGAAATGTGCTGAAAACTGGCCATGTCCCTACACAGCTGTCTTTTGGTGGCATTAATTGGTGATTTGAGGCACTTCTTCACAATTAAGGATTTTAGACTGAGAAGGAGCCATGATGGGCTCGGGGCATGGCTTAAGTGATAGAGCGCCTGCCTAGCATCTGCAAGGCCCTGAGTTCAAACCCCAGTACCAGAAAAAAAAAAAAAAAAAAAAAAGGACAAATAGAGACCACACTTTAACCATAAAAGGAAGTTTCTGGCTAAAAAGCAGATTACATATGCTTTATGAACATATCACAATGACATCCCTTTGCACAATTAAGATAAGCTAACAATAGAAGCACGTCCATTCATGAGGAATGGGGCTGCCTTGGGGGTGTCTGTCTGTGTAAGAGACGTACGCCAGCAACTCTTTCTCCATCTAACAAGATTATTCTTCAAAAGCATCTACTCAACACAAATCCTCTCCCATGTTTGAGTGGCATTTTTATTCACTAGAGAAAATTCCTCTTGCTCTCATGAAGTCATTTCAAATCCCATGGAAGGGTGGATTCAACTATGATATGTCACAAGGTCACAAGGTTAAGCATGATAATAATAATACAATAATAAGATGATAGTTAAAAAAAATTAAAAATAAAAATAAAATCCCAGGCTAACTTCTACTTGTTCAGAAGTAAGCAAAAAATTAACATAATATGATTTCCAGCTCAGGGACAGCTACTCCAATCTCCACCTTGTTGAAAGATTATTTTTTTCCCAATATTAATGAAAAACACCCAATCACGATGTGCACGTTCTCATATTTCCCACAACTAACATAGTTTCTACTAAACTTCTCAATTAAAAGTAATTAAGAAGATAACAGATTTACTCAGTACATTTCAAAATAAAGAACAGCTAAACAGGAAAAAAAATCAGTAAATGACTTTCCATAACAAATTACGTTCACAGACCCAATTAGCACTTTTGTTTTAGGTTTATTTTATTGTGTTTTATTTTTTATCGTTGTGCTGGTGGGGGCACACGGCAGCATTTACGGAACTTGGATGTGTGCCACAGAGGTAACAGTTGCTGAGCCAGCATTTGAAATCTATTTTTTATGTCAATTTTCCATGTTGCCAACATAAAGTTTTTCCCTGAATACAAGATTTTACCTGTTGTTCTTACCCAGAATAACAGCTGGGAAATACCTCAGGCTAATCCACTCATTTCCACTTCAGGTTAAAAGAAATTACAACTTCTTTTAATTCTTAATTTGGATATTGTCACTCCTACTACTAGTTATATATTATACTAACTTGACTCTTTTTTGAGTTACTGGGGTTTGAACTCAGGGCTTCACGTTTCCTAGGCAGCACTCTACCACTTGGGCCATGCCTCAGCCTATTTTGCTCAGGTTATTTTCGACATGGGTCTCACCTTTTGCTTAGGCCCCCTGGACCTTAATTCTACTATTTTGTTTCCCCTGTGGCTGGGATGATAGGCGTGCACTATCATACCCGGCTTTTTTCCTTTGAAATGGGGATCTACCAAATGTTCTTGCCTGGGCTGGCCTCAAGCCATGATCCTCCCAATCGCAGCCTCCTGAGTAGCTAGGACTAGGGAGGTAGGAGCCATCAGAAGCCGGTTTAATTTTGACTCTTTATTCCAGAAACCATCCGAATAACAACTCATGATTCTGGTTATCCATCGAAACCAATATTGCTTTTGGTTTTTTCTAGAAGGAACTGATTCAATGTCATTTTTGGAGGGTTTTTCTTTTTTTTTAAATCCTAGGACTTAAGGAATCCTAACAAATCCATAGGCTTCTAGAATTCTACACAAAATTTCATGTAGGCAATCTTCCCTTGTATCCAGGGGATATTGGTCCCAAGATCCAGCAACAGATGGCAAAATTTACAGGTGCTCAAGCCCGTCACAAAAGATGGCATGAAATTGCATATGACATACACATATCCACTCGTGTTCTTTATATCATCTATCATGGTTTGAATATGTATGTCCTACGCAAGGATGTATGATAACCTCTCAGTCCCCAGCTGACAGCACTGTTCTGAGAGGCTCTGGAGACTTTAGGAAGTGGGATCTCCTGGAAGAAGTAAGTCACTTAGGGGTAGGTCCTTGAGAATATCTTGTCTCTGGCCCCTTCCTGTCTCTCTCTCTCTCTGGTTCCTGACCCTCTGAGGTGAGGAGGTTCTCTGCCACAAGCTGTCATCACCATGATATATCCTGCCCCAAGGAGCCAAGCAAGCACGGACTGAGCCTCTGATACTGCAGCCAAAATGAATCCTTCCTCCTTTCGGTGCTTTTGTCAGACATAGTGACGAGAAAAATAACTAATACCTCACCTAAAATTACTTACACTACTTACAGCAGTGCCTACACTTCACTGAATCCATGGAGATTCAGGATTTGACTTAGGGTGCAACAGCTAAAGTTTTGCTTTTTGGAACTTTCTCTATTTTTTCTGAGTATTTTCAATCCACATGCAACCCTCAGATACAGAGCAGGATAACTGCAAGATTCTTCTGGCAGAAAACCTTCCTTTTTTTGCTTCCTGGCATTCATCTTGCCTCTTTCAGTTACTAGTACCCCCTTTTCCTCTCAGGTACCATCCCATTCATTGCCCACCTCATGGAAGATGCTGGACTGCTTCTGCTCCGAGTTCCCAGAGAGGTGCACAGGACTCATCAGTGAGCCACTCAGGATGAATTCAAACAAGGGGATTTCAGTAACAGCTTGATCTGACGCCTGAGAGGATGACGTGGTTAGGCAATGCTGTGACCACCATCTTGCTACCAAATAAGCTGAAGCCTGATGCTATGTTAGTGTAAGTAAGTGAATATTGTTACATTGTTTTGATCCAGAAGTTAGCTAGGTGCCTCGGTTCCTTCATATCCTAATACATGGCATGTGTGTGCACACACACTCACACTCACTCTGCCCACACTACAGTTGTAGAATGGATTGATTCTTCTGCTTAATTCTTACTGACTTTCTCTGACCTTTCCTAAGTAATACTACCCTTTCTGTTCTCTACTTCTCCCGGCCCTATCTGTCTCTAATCCCACTACATATAGTCAAAATTGTACTCCATTTGCTGTATCTCTTAATCCGGTACACAGGAATTTTGTCAGTTTCTAGTTTTTTCCATTAAAGCATGCACAGTGCAGGATTATTTTCCAGTTGAGGAAAAAAGAGAGATGGGGAGGGAGGCAGGAAGAAAGAAAAACAGTATTTAAAAACGGGATTCAAATAGAGAGTGGTGTAGTTTCACTAATAGTGGAACAAATTGAGATTTTGTTTAGACACATATAAAATACATCTTGAAAAACAAATGTCTGTAGCATAGATTAGTAGGAATGGATTTCTTTATGTATCTGATCTCAATTCCAAGCACACATGGCTGGCACAATCATGGAACCCCTAAAAGTAACTGCCGGAGTTTACAGCACTTCTGCTTCCCATGCACTGACTCGATAAATGCCAAGAGTGAGTATTTTAGATTAAATGAATAGATTAATAAACATCTTTGGAGTATCCATCATGACGTCTGATTTATGTTCTATTGCTAGCGGTAATTCAAAGAAACGTCATGCCATTCAAAAAATATTGCATGTTGTTCACACCACTTTGCCAATGTTACGACATCATGTCAAAATGACAGTAACGATATTCTTCTGCAGAACTAACTGTTCACAACAGCCAAACACCACATCCATGGCCACCAGCACAGGAACCACTCACATTTATAACTTTGACGAATGGCCTTTCATTTGTAAATTTATAGTGCTCCCATTATTTCCTCTGGGATCCAAGAGGTTCATTCAAAAAATTGCCACAGCATTTATCTGTGCAGAGATGATAGATGTGGTTTGTGAAATTAAATGATTTTAAAAATTAAAATCATACTGCCAAGAAAAGAGTCACGTTCCTTCCTAGTTTGTCACATTTTTAAATCATCAGAACTGTACTCTCAGCAGATACAATGTTTAATCTAGGTGGCACACTCATTAACTATGTCTAATTACACATCCTTAGGGGCAGGTGGAATCAGTATGAACCACTGGACATTGAGTCAAACTTAAGTTTGCCATTTTATTTCCTAATTCTACTCCCTCACTTTAAGCTTTATATAAAATATCACTGAAGCGGAATATCTCTTACTTATATCTATGGCAAAGGACCACTACCAGGATCCCACACAGTTTACTGCGAGCACAAACTATTACACACTACCATAATTTTTATCGTGAGTCAAATAAAATATATGTTTTACCAAAAATCAATCTATCTCATCACAATATAGACTTTGCTCATTCAGAGAGACAGATGAAGAGGGAAGTGAAAGGTAACAACTTTCACTAAAATAACCAGTAAAGAGCAGGATTGTCAATGTGTGAGAAGGAATGCACACTGCAGCTCAGTATGGTTTTTTTGGTGACGTTCTACTTTTCCCTTAATTTGCCTTCAAATACACACAAGGCAGGTACCACACAGAAGTCTTAGCAGTACTTTTTTTTTTTTTAACAAATCTATCCTATTACTACAGAACATACTAAAACACAACCTGTAAGGGTTTAGTGATTTGTTTTGGTTACATGAACACCAACCTCCAATTTATTGAACAAATGAGCATTAGCTCATTCAGTCCAAAAAAACTGTATCAAATTCTGGTACCATTTGTGTGCAAAGCACTTCTTATATATGAAGATCTTTACGTTCTGCTTAATGCAAACATAATATGAAAAATAATAAAATAAATATTTTACGCACCTCAGGGGGCTGCTAACTCCTTGTGGGCAGGGACATATTTTTCATCATCCTTGGGTCACCGGTGACCAGCACAGCACCTGGAAGACACCCCATAAGTGTGCTTGAATTAAATAATACAGTGCCGATTGGAATCTATTTGGAAGGTAAGGATTCAATGAGATAAACCATCCCACCGTCAATCTTCTCCTCCTACATGTCACAATATTTTTCTTATAAATTTTAATGACAGCTCTATTCTAAACGCTCACCTCTCAAGAATAATTGCTTCTAAACCCCTGCTATATCTTACTGTGGTCTTGGTTTTGGTGAGAACAATATAGTTAACTATTGGAGAGTATGTCCTTTGGTGTCAACAGAGGTCCAAATCCTGGGTCTCCCACTTACTCATTTATTTACATGGTCTTGGACAAATTTCTTAGTCTTAGTCTTAAATTCAATGTCTGTAAAATAGAGATTATCGTGGTATTTTTTGTCATAGTGTTGTTGAAAGAATTGAAGAAGACAGTGCTTAATGCAATCTAGTATTTTAAGATATACAGAATACTGCCAATGAGTGAAGAAAAGTTTATTTTCATTCCTCTTGCTTCCTACCCCTTTAGTGTGGGAAGAATTAACCTCGACCACAGAGAGATGGACTTTGCCTTCAGATACTAGAATTTAATCTCCTGGAATTCAAAATGCCATGCTTGTATCTCTGTTTTCCTGGAGGCTTTGGCTAATCTAGAGGGTCACAATGTGATTTATCATGGGTACTTTGGGCTCTGTAGTATCTGTTTTGCCTCTAGTAGAGGCAAACTGGAAACTAATGGCTTCAGCTCAACACCAACATCGAGAACAGTATGTGATCAATAAAACCTCTGGATACCCAAGGCTGACGTGATCCTCCTATGTTGGAATGCTCCTTGTGTATTATCACACACTGGTACCAGCAATGCAGCATTTCCTGACAATGGAAGCTGTGTGTTTGGTTCTTTCCTGGAATCCACCTGTGTACTTCTTCTCCTCAGCTGATTTTAATCTACACCCTTTCCCTGTAATAAGCTGCAACTGTGAGTACAAGAAGTTTCAATGAACTCTGTGAGTCTTTCACGAAAATTATCAAATCTAAGAATAGTTTTTGAAACCTCCAAACTTACAATTGGTGTCAGAAGAGAAGATGGTCTTTTGTGGAAAACTGATTCCCTCTACTTTTGACACTGACTACCTCTATAGTTGGTTAGATGCACCACCCCCGCCCCCCGCAACAGCATCTTCCTTCTGTAAACCCAGAGAGTCCAAAAAGCTTTGAAAGATAGCTTAATTCGCCACTTAACAATGATCCCACAGTCTAAACTTCTTCAATCTGATGGTGTTTATACAAAATTATAAGTCAATATTTTGTCTGCCCTGGCACAAACAATAAAGCTGCAACCTCCCAGTTCCCATAATAGATATAGAAAAGATTTGTGTTGTGTTTTGTTACTGTTATTTGATAAATAAAATGACAGTAATATCTAGAAGTAAATGGATCACATATAAGTAAAATTATTACTTGTATATTATACAGATGTTAGATTTGCTAATTTTCAAACAAAATATTAATTAAATCCTGTTTCTTCCAAGTGCTTGGACTGTTCTATGCAATAGATTTTTACATTTTGTCTTTTTTAAATAAACCTATTAGTAATACTGGTTCAGTAGGCAGAATTGTAAGATGATCCCTAAGCTATCCCCAACTGGTGACTATGCTCTGTGTAATGGGATTTCCAATATCAATGTGAATAAATGGATTTTGCTCCCATAAGTGGCTATATTATGTAACACAGTTGATTTTAATACAGATTATCTGGGTAGATCTCACCTAGTCATGTAACTCTTCTAAATCTTAGAGGTCAAAGACAGAGAATTGAAGCCTAAGGAGGATTTGACACACATCACCACATCCAGGGTAAAAGAGTCCACAGGGTAGGAATAGAGATATCCTCTAGAAGTGACACGAGACCAGTAACACAGCCACAAGGAACTGAATTCTGCAAACAACAAGGTAAGTTTGAAAACAGACTTTTCCAGAGCCTACAAATAAAAACTCAGCCTGGCAACCCTTGACTTCAACCTAGTGCTACCTGAAGCAAAGATCTCAACCAGAAAGGTCTGGACTCCTGACCTTCAGAACTGTGAGCTAATGAGTTTGTGATCTTTTGTTACACAAGAACACAGGATACTCCAAGTCTTTCCTTGACTTCTCTCTAGTTTTTCACTCTGAAAATAAGAATCACTATGGGAAGTGTTGAACTAACTCTAGATACTCCAGGTTACTATTCCCAACACTGGGAATTCCCATTGACCCACTCCAAATGACAAAGTAATAGTTTGTATTTATTGTTTATATAATACATCACTTGAAAAGCTCAATTCATCTCCTACAAGGAGTTAAGAAGGCAAGACTTCAATATTCGGTCTGTTACTTCCAAATTTTCTTAGGCCTTCAGAAAGTATGAAAGTAGATAGCAGCTGTTCTTTTTTGAGGCAAACTTGAGAAACTACCACAGGTTCAGTGGAGTACATAGAATCACTAAGTATATGGAGTGAGGTTGGGATCACTTAAAAATGTTCAAAAATGACCAATTTCAATGTTCCTTGCTCACTAATGTACTAAATATTTAAGTGTACACAATATGCAAAATTCTCTGATAAGTGACAGGGATACAATGGTAAGATACCCAAGGTCCGCCTTTTCACTGACTTTTGCTCTTTCAAAAATACACTTCTCATCTTGTTCAATTATAAGACTGTGATTAATCTTTAATCACTAACTCAAGGTTCATCTCAGGTCTCAAAAGGAGACTTTTTTGACCCTCTTGGGCAAAATAAGATAAGGTGTCCTTTCTCTGCTCCCATAAAATGCTGTACCTAAAAATAATTTTTAATTGTGTTAAAATCGTAAGGGGTTGCATGTCTGTATCTTCCATAAGCAGAATGCAGGGAAAAAAACTCATGAAGCATGTGCACCCCAAATTCCTAGAGTCCAGAAGTGGTTATGAACAGGAAGGTCTTCTTTTACAAGCTAAGACTGGACTTAATTCCTCCTGTAGGTTAATATATGTAGACTGTTCCAACCTACCAAGGCTTAACTGAAGATTTTTTTCTAATTTATGATGGGGAAGAAGTGTACCCATACAACCACTCTATTTTCATTTTCAGCATAATATTCAATGAATTCTATGAAATATCCAAAACTATTATAAATTAAGTCAACTGTAGATTGATCTAAGTGTTCTGAGAATGGTCAGGGTAGGAAAGGCTTAGCTGTAGTGCTGGGTGATCAGATGGTAAGGTGTACAGAATGCATTTTCGACACAAGATCCTTATTTGCAACTTACAACAGGTCCATCTGGATGTAAGTCCATCTTAAGTCAAGCAGTATCTATCCCTCAGGAATAGTAACTATCTCTTCAGATACAAGCATAGTGAAGTGAGGGTATTTTCAGTTGAGGATAGGAACCAGACTGGAGGAAAGGAATGAGAGGGCATGACATAATGTCCAGTGCATATCAGTCATTTTGTGGTGGTAACACCTCTCCCCATGACCCTCTGTCTTGATTCTGAGTTCCTGGGGGCTGCCCTACAGAGACACTGCAGCCTGCAAACTAGGAATCAGTGATATGGGAACTCGCCCAAAGACACTAGAGGTCAAGGCAGAGTTTCTTCTTGAAATCAAAAACAAATTTTCCTCCACAGCTCAGAATAATACTAAGAATATACTTGTATGCTTGGAGCAGGAAAGGTGATAAGGTGGACTAACAGATATTTCAAATAAATGATAGATATTACTGATTTTTAGACACAAGAATATTAACAAATTCAATGTCAAAGGCCTCACACTCAAGGTGAGGCAGGTAAGGTTCACACCTGAGAGTGGCACTACATGTATACCCTAGGTGTCCCACCCATCTTATCCTATTCCGTGGCTGATGGGGAAAGACAGAACTGACAAGCAAAAAGAGAAGCTTTGGCATGGAGTGATTCTGGGTTCACTTTTTAAAACCTTTCACCTTGCACAGTAGAGTGAGGGCTCTGGAAAAAGAAAAGATCATGAAAATAGCTCCATTTCCCCTTGGGGATCAGAACAGAGGTAGTTGGGTTTTCATCCCTTTAGATACATATTAAAAGGATTACAAACTGTTATCAGATATTTCCCTATTTGATAGCTCTATTTGCTATTTTTTTTAAATACCTCTATTTCTTCCTACCTTCTCTAAGCATGTTGGGTCCACTTATTCCTGTACTATTGAAAACTACACTCAAAAAGAACCAAGAACATCAGTTTCCTAAGAGTCAATAAGAAAGATATCCACTTGTAGTCCCTGCCAGTCTAAAGCATATTTGTAAGTGTTCTCTTATGAAGTCCACCACAAAGATACATGACCTAAATTCTAAAATGGCAAAACTCTGAGGTACTAGGGCAACTTGCCCAACTTAAACTCTTAAGATGTGCACTGTGGTTCCTTACACAATTTCCAAGAATCCTCACATTTTCCATCTAACAAGGGGGCAGCCATGTACACGTGGAGGTACATTTTCTGTCTAACAAGGAGGCAGCCATGTACACGTGGAGGTGGGTATAGATACACTGGAAACTGGTTGGGACCTGTGCAGTTTCTCTCTTTGCTTGCCAGGCTGGCTGAGGGCTCCTAGGTAAGTCACTCACTCTTTCCAGGCATTGCATTCCTTACATTAAAGACCTGAAGATCCATCCTGCTATAATATTTCTGTCTCAGTGAGACGGGAATTTCCGACCTCACCTCAACCTTTCCAGTTCGTGAATGTAGGCAGAAAGACATAATTGAGTTCTCAATTCCAGCAGGAGAACTGGCAGCATGAAGAGTGTGAGACTGAGATGCTAGATGAGACTTGGGTGATCATCAACGATTCTAACCAAATGCTTTGGAGTTTAACAGGAATGGCAGAAGTAAGCACAGTGCTAAAAGCCTTATGTGTGTTATCTGACTTAATTCACACAGCGATTCTTTGGGAGAGATATTTTTATTATACCCATTTTAGAGATGAGGAAATTGACACCAAGAGATTAAGAAATAGG